TCCAGGTAGGTGGTGGAGTCTGTGTTTAGAGGTTTGTACATAGGGTCTTGGAGTAGGTTGGATAGTTTGGCTTGGTAGTCAGACGTGTTCATCACCACTGTGGTGTTACCTTTGTCTGCTGGGAGAATGATTATGTTGTTGCCTTTCCTCAGGTTGGTGAGTGCTATTTCCTTGTTGCTGTAAGTTGCTTCTGGGTGGATTACTAAAGCAAAGGACATTGCTGACTGCAAGTCTGGTTTTATTGGCTTCATCTGGGTTGATTTTGGTGAGTGTAGCTTCAACTCTGCATATGATGTCTTCAGTGGGGATGCATTTGGGGGCAACTGCAAAGTTGAATTCTCTGGAAAGGACATTGATTTCAGCTGTGGTGACGGTTCTGTCTGATATGTTGTGTACTGTTTGTTTCATGCTGTGGAGAGTGGGGTTGGGCTTCTGTTGTTTTTCTAGTCTGTGGAGTTTGTTGGTGTGTTTGTTTGTCTTGTAGGAGGTTTCTGTTTGGGCTCTCCAGAGGGCTAGTTGTTTGGATTTGTCCCAGAGTGCTAGGTGGATTTTGTTGCTGAGTTTGAGGTGAAAAGTGAGTAGGTCCCAATTGGTTTGGGAGGTCCCAACAATCCTGTGTAATTGTTTCTGATTAGGGCTAATACAGTTCTTTTCAGGATCCTTTCAATGGCTGAGGTTTTAGAATGGAATTTTAGCTGGAAGCATGATCAGACTTTTGTCTTGATTGCGTAGGAATGTGAGGTCACATGAGATGGTGGCTCTTCAGACTTCAAGTTTCTCATAGGATCTGGTGAGCAGGAAGGTTTCCTCCCTATAGAGGTAAGATATTTGTTTTCGTAGATTTTCATGGTTGTAGGTATGCTGGTCTTGTTGTATTCGGGTCTTTTCCTGTGTAAGATTGAGATTGTTTTGGCAACGTTTCAGCAAGGTCTCACTCACCATCTTCAGGCTAGGTTTTGGGCTTAAAGTGTGATCAGACCTGCTGTCTTTCTATAAATCTTGGTGGGGGCCTGTGGAGTGCTGACTTTGTTTCAGTAAGTGGAATGATTGGTTGTGGTTGTATCATGATTGGTAGATGGGTGCTGATTGGTGCTGGCTGTGTGTCTTGTTGTTTCATGTTGTAATGGCCTGTGTGGTGGGTGGGGCTCGTTTGTTGACTAGGGCTGGTTTCCAGATGTCTGGTAGGCGAGAGGTATCATCACGTTTATTCATGATGTGGGGGTGTTTCTCTATTTCGATAGCTTCCATAATTATTCTCTTGTTGAAGTGTTCTGTTTTGGAGATTAACCTGATTCCTTCAAAATTAATTTCATGTCCTGTAGCTTTAAGGTGCTGGAAAAGGGAGGAAGTTTTTTCCTTTTTTCCTTTTTTCTTACTGCATTCTTGTGTTCTGCGATGTGTGCATTTATTCTCCTGTTCGTTTGTCCTATGTATGTTGCAGGGCAGATTTTGCATGGTATTTCATAGACGTCTTGGTTTTCTAGCTGGATTTTGTTTTTGGAGTTTCTTAAGATGTTGGCTATCCCATCAGTACCCTGCACAGATCAACTCTGTAGCCAAGACCCTCATCTCCAGAACCAAATGCCTAGCCGACAAAGACCACCTGAAAACTGAATTACACACTCTCACAAACATATTAATCTCCAAAGGATTCCAAAGAAAAACCATTACCAATCTAATCCAAAGGGAGACTCCGCCCAAAAACCAAGACACAGAACAGGACAACGGCATCGCCCTCCTCCCTTACATCAAAGGCACCACAGATAAAATCAGCAAAATTCTCCACAAACACAATATCAAGACAGCCTTCAACACTGACCAAAAAATAGCCAACATCTTAAGAAACCCCAAAGACAATATCCACTCTTGCTTAGCAACCAAAATGTTGGCTCAGAAACTCTGGCATTTGAAGCACGCAAGTCTTAAAGCTATCAAGTTACAAGACCCTTGCACCCCTAACCCTTTAGAAAAAAAACCCAGGGATGTTCGAACTTGATAGCTTTAAGACTTGAGGACTTCAACTCCCAGAATTTCTCCTCCAGTCATGTTGGTTCAGGAACTCTGGCATTGAAGTGTGCAAGTCTTAAAGCTGTCAAGTTACAAGACCCTTGCACCCCTAACCCTTTAGAAAAAAACCCAGGGATGTTCAAACTTGACAGCTTTGAGACTTTAAGGTTTAGATAGGACTCTTAGAAGGAGTGGGGCAACTGGTGAGCCAGCCAATCAGTAAGCGGCAGGCGGGGTAAGCGTGGAACCGGTTCTAAACAGCATGGTAGATTTGTGGAACCTCTTCTATAGAATAGGTTAGAACTGGCAGGAACCCACCCCTGCTGGGAGGACTGCGTGTGGCCTCCCAAGCTCTGTTTTCTCTAGCAGAGGCACCATGAGTGGTGCTTCACTGTTTCCAGGGTGGGCCCAGGGGCCAGATCTAAGCACCCCATGGGCCAGATCCAGCCCATGGACCTTGAGTTTGACACCCCTGAACTAGGTCATAAAATCACAAAACCAGTGCACAAAATAATAATAAAAGAAAAAAAGAAACTTAAAAGAATAAGTGATAGTGCAAACTTAATTGAAGGCTCTCCAAAATAGCTGTAAAACTTGTAACATAGAATAGAATAACAGAGTTGGAAGGGACCTTGGAGATCTTCTAGTCCAACCCCCTCCCTAGAGAGGAAACCCTATACCATTTCAGACAAATGGCTATCCAACATCTTCTTGAAAACTTCCAGTGTTGGAGCATTCACAACTTCTGGAGGCCAGTTGTTCCACTGAATTGTTCTAACTGTCAGGAAATTTCTCCTTAGTTCTAAGTTGCTTCTTTCCTTGATTAGTTTCCACCCATTGCTTCTTGTTCTAACCTCAGGTGCTTCAGGGACTAGTTTGACTCCCTCTATCTTCCTGAATGCCATCTGAATGATCTCCATCAGAAGATGGAATACTCTTCTGTTTACTGTGCAGATATAGCATGCAGTTATATCATGTCGTGTACAAACAAGACTAAGGAGAAGAAAATTGGTATTGGTCCAGAGAAGCTGAACGTCAGCTTTCTTCAGTCTTGGTCAATATGCCTAAGACTTCTGAAGGACAGTTGATTGCCTTATTGTAGATCATGAAAGGTAACACATCATAAATATAAATAATTGGAATAATTGATCATTTGTCAGTTAATCAGTATATTCATATAATAAAAGTTCTGGAAATACCCTTGAACAATTTTTATCCAAAAGTGGAAGTGTGTAGGTAGCAGATAAGGGTCAAGAACAAATCTGGCCAAACTGAAAAAGATGTAGCACCGTTCCAAAAACAAGCTAGTTCAGGGAATAAGAAGCAGTACACAGGTTTTATAGAATGCTCTGGAAATGCAAAAACCATTTGGCTGATTGCTGTTTGAAGTTAGACTTGTGTATTATCTCACTCCTGCTCAATACAGCATTTGAGAGAAGCTGAGATACTACCGGTAGGAGCCAATCAAGGCTCCCTTCAGCTGACCAATAGGAGTGCTCTGGTGATGGCGGCAGCTCTTGGAGAAATTCCTTCACATGGACACCCCACTGCACGCAAAAGAAGAGGGAAATGCTTTCCCCCACTTTACTGCTTTCAGCATGTACTGAATACTGAATGTCTGCTGATCTGCACACAAACGAAGGTCAAGAATATGAATTGTTAGTATGAGAGGAAAGTTATCAGCGTGCACATAAATTCCCACCAAAAACAACAATGTTGGCATGACCATGTCATTTTCTGCGGCAGTTAGGATGGTCTGTTACACTGTGCAGCTTCTGAGGGGAAGCTGCATTATGGGTAGGCATGAGGGGAGGAGAGTAAGGGCTGTGTTTAATCCAGAGGATGAGAAGCAAGGCAATTTAAAAGCTTGGTGCATGGTGCTTTTTATATAATCAGAGGGTGGGGGGTGGGAATCAAGCTAGAAAGCTGGCTAAAGAGATCATGTTTATGAAACCATCCAGCAGAATTAGGGGGGGGGGGGCGGGTTGCTTAGAAAGACAACATGCTGAAGGCCCCCTTTAAAACTCTCAAAACAATCTCCCAAAGCTGACTCTAGCCTGCCTGCTTTTTAACTGTAGCTCTTACATACGGCATGAAACCTATCTGAAGTTGATTGAACCTGAGGGCTTTTGTGCTATACAAAAATTAGGCCTCCATACAGTATTTAATGTAAATTATAACATTACAACTAGCCATTTCACTTAAGGATAGAGAAAAAAGGAACAATTGCACACAAATATGATTGCCATCCATATTTCCAAGTACATTTCCAAATGGACCCCAGGCTATAAAATGCTTCCTCAAATACAAATTGAGAGCCGAGCAATTTATACCATTGTATAATTGATGGAGAATAAGTAACCTTGCAGAATTTTCATGGCTTTTAATAAACATTTGATACTGACCAGAACAGCCTATGTTATGCTGCAATGAAATATGTTCTACTATGCAACACCATCTCAGCAATTGGCACAGCATAAATTGATCTGTCGTTTAAGATCCAAAAGGATGAAGATACAATTTATGAGATTTTTAAAAAATCATCTTGCTTGCTTTTAGCCACTGTGGATTATGATTATATTTTTTGTGGGATAAAATACTACCAACCTCTACATTAGATACCCAGTACTAGTATGACGAAAGGTTTATTTTTATGTTAACAACAGTGTGATTTTCCACTGCTTATAGATCATAGTTAGATTTTTAACAAGAATAGAACAAGGGTATTTTACAAACAAAAACCTACAATGTCTCCAACTTGATCAATCAAGCAGACAAAAGCAAAATCTTAAACAGTACCTGAGCTGGTTGCTGATGTGTTGGCATAGCAACTCTCAAGAGTTCACTGCCAATATTATATAATTAGTTATAGAATTATAATTATTAGTTATCAATCTAATATTATCATAAAAATAATTAGACAATGGCTGATATCAGTTGAGCATATTCAAACTAAGTACCTTAAAGAATTCATTTAATAAATTATTTTATACCTTTTATTTTTTTTTAAAGCACTGATGTTTTCTCCTTGCAGAGCTCCAGATTGTTAAATAAATAGGAGTGGACATAAATATTGGCTTGTACCTATAAAAATAAAAATAAAAATTAACCAGGAACATGTGGAGATTTTTTAAAGAACAAACAGAAAGAAAATCTGTGTACCAAATCCTATTACCCTTTTTTCTTACTCTGAACCCTATAAGGTATTATATGCAACAAAGAAGTGAACATTCAAAATAATGTAGAAAAAGCTGTACAAATCATTAAAAGTACAATTTAAAAAAACCTTATGTCATGTTCCAATACAATACCAAATATCTGGACACATATTTTCTCCTATCTACTACAGTATGTGAAACTTATAGTCTTAACCAGTTTTCTAAATACCAAGCTTAAATGTACCCATTGATTTTCTTCAGAAATCGTGTTCAATAATAAAGCTCTATGGGTTTGTCTGAAAAAACAAACATTTTACATAACGTTACAGATAATGGCCCCACTTAGGCACCGTGCCCTAATTAGCATACTGAACTGCCTTTTACAACTTCTAAAATCAGAAATTCTGTCTATCAGAACTATTATTAATACATAGCACAGAAATTTCTTATTCTATCCAGCCATCTAATTCCTACACATATGTTTATGGAATATGGATATTACATTGGATTCACATTGTTATAAATTCTCTTGTAGTAGTTTAGCACCCTTCCCTTCCCTTCTCTTCCCTGCCTTGCCCCTACCCTATCCTATCCTACTCTACCCTACCCTACCTTACCCTACCCTACAGTACTTGTGTTCTCTGGAGCCACCTATCTAAGTGCTTACTAGTCCCAACCTCTTTAGATTCTTGATCGACACAAGAGTCAAACAGATGTCATCACTTACTTGTTGATAGCTGAAATGAAAATCAAGTATGTTTTATTTGCTATTCTTTAGTGTGCTCTAGTTGTGCAGTACTTCCCAATAATTTGTACCTAAATCAAAATGCAAACTTTTGTTCTTATTTATTTATAAAATTTATAAGGCTGCTTCTCTCACACTTTGTAACTGTGAGCAGCATATAAAAATAAAAAGAGCAAAATTCAAAACCGAAAAATATTCCCAACAAAATAAAATAGAGTCAATACATAATTAAGACTGTCAATGAAAACATACAGATCACAGAATTGGTTCATTTAAAAGCCAAGTCTTTGTACGAATCAGGTTGGAACAATTCAAATATAGAAGGCTAGAGTTCATTCCAAAGAGCAGAGATGGCTGTTCCATAAACAGACTCTCTGAATGATATTGTTTCAGAGAGGGAACCTGGAGCATGTCTACCTTATGACACAGGCAAAGATTCCAGGGAGACGTAATCTCCCAAGTAACCCAATGTCAAATTGGACCTCATAAGTAATCAACATGCTGAATTATACATAGAAACCTATTGCAACTCACAAAAAGTGATGTGTCACAGGTATGGTGAGGCATACCCATTGTTATCTCTCCTGCTATATTTTGGACCAGCTGAAATTTTCAATTGGTCTTCAAATGTAGTCCTATGTAGAGAACATTTCAGAAATCCAACAGGTTAGTGACTAAGGTATCAGCAATCACAACATAATTTCCTGATCTAGAAAAAGATGCACAGTATAAACTTGCAGAAAGGCCACACTGGTCTTCAAATAGGAGCCAGGAGTCTAGAGGATGCCCAAATTACAAACCAGTTCTGAGAGGAGAGTCCAGTCCTACCCAGAATTAAAGATGAAAACCTCCAGAAGTGGATCGTAGGAGAACCTAGAGCACTCCATCTTGCTAGTAGCAAGAGAGTCTGTTTCCCCCATCCCACCCCCATGCAGACCTCCAGAATGTCTACACATTGGGACAGAACCAAGTTGGCTCACTTGTCAGAGAAAGGCAGAGATGTATACAGAGATGTAAACAAATGATACTTGATTCTCTGGCAAGAGATAACCCTAACAGTGCTTCATGTAGATGTTAAACGTAAGTGAGGAAATAGTGAATCCTAAAGCATATCCCACATAAAACAGGGGCCTTAGGGCTAGATCTTACATACACACACCTTGATATCAACTGGAAGAAGCAATAGAGAAAGGAGGCAACACCATGTCTCCTAGCCCCTATGTTTAATGGTATTTAAGGTGGCCAAGAGTTCAAAGAGAACTAGAAGTGATGCACTTCTCCATCCTAAATTCATCAGAGGATTATTGAAAAACACTATCAATGCAGTTTCAGCATATGTTCCAGCCTAAAACCCAATAGTAAGACTATTTACTTTCCTTGCATCTTCAAAACTGCAGGTTGATTGCCTTGTCAACAATCTTCTCAAAATTTGACAAATAAAAACAATAAAGAAATCTTACCCTGGAGTGTGGAAAATCCTTTTTCCATGTTACTCGGAGTATGAAGTTGAGATAAAACTATGCATAAAAATAGCAGCAGCCATATGCTTCTCTTGAAAAGGTGTCATCAGACATCCTCTAACACACCTCAATTTAGCAGGAAGTAATTAAAAAGGAGTTATATATTTCTGAGTACACATATTAAATGAAATCTATGACAATTAAGCTGTAATTTCAACATCCAATAAGAAAGCAACTACTTGTGACACAAATGATCTTTGATCACAATTCTTATTATATGCTAACATTGTCAGCATCTCTTCCTTTTACCTCGGTTAATAATAGATCTTCAGTAAACTATTTAAGCACTACAATTTCACAAAGAAGCTTGAAAGTTATCTATGGAGATTCTCAGTCATCCAAGTCATGGTTGTTGTGACAAGCTTGAAAGCTTGTTAATCAACAACACAAAGAATGGACAAATGGCATGACAATATTACCTGCCTTCAAGCTTAGAATGAATCTTGGTGGCCTGGAACTATATGTTACCTATCAAGAAGTACTTGTTCATGCCCACCACCACACACTTTCAATGTCATTTTCCTCAACCTACTTCTGCATATGAGATTGAGTGAGTCAGATGCAGTTGTCTTTTCCCTGAGATCCTTAATTTACATTCAATTTTAAAATCACTAGAAATAGAAAGAAATGGAGATTACTATTAATGATTCAGTGTGACTACTGAACAATTAACATCAGGGAAAAATATAATATTTAATTTGATTTAATTTTTCTCCGCCACAACCAGTTTTAAAATTACTATATGAAGCTGGAGCAACTCAAAACCCAAAGAAAATTGCAGAGATTTGCTTTAAGCAAACACAGACAATTCTTCACATATCAGTCCAGTGGAACCTACCTCTGAAAAATCAAGTGCCAGATTGCATTGAAAGGAAATAGTCTGGGGCCTGATTCTTTTTCTAAATATTTTTATATATATAACTGTAATGAAGAAAGCTTTTTCTGCAATCATTTGGGACAATTAAAATGTCAAAATGTCAAAAATAGAGGTGTTGAATGATAAAAGTTATGTATGACCCATATAGCACACAAAGAAGGTTTACATGCCTAACAGCACCCATACATTAATACATTTGGTCAAGATGATTAATTTAGCTGGATAAGAAAAGTGGAATGATGGTAATGCTGAAATAGCCATAGATGTAAATCCAACTCTTAATGCTCACCAATCCAACAAGGATGGCTTTTTATCCCAATTTAAATCCTTTGTTCATACAACAACCAGGACAGCTTTATTTGCACATCTAATCTAGCTAGCTTTGATTATGTGTTTTCACCTTAATATGATGATTGATGCCTTTGACTTGTAAATCATGCTTGATTGTGGGAAATATTAATACAGAACAGTTGATTCTTCTGAGGAGCAGTGAACAAGTAGATACAGGAAGAACTGAATCTGGAGAAACAGTGATTCAGACTAGAAAAGGACTAAGAATATACATTGTCCTCCTATCCATTTAACATATACAACAAATATATTTTGGTAGGACTGGAAAATATGACAGCTTGAAAAACCAGAAGATTAAAACATCAACAATTTATGATATGCAGAAAATACCACTCAGCTGAACAAACTTTTTAAAAAAGACACCTTTGTTGTGAAACTGAAAGCAGAAGTGAAAAATCCAAATTGAAATTAAATACTAGAAAGGCAAAGTTTATGCCAACTAGCATGTCACTTCAACAGCAACAAAGAGTAGATAATTATATTTAAGGGTTATCAGTGCTAATCTATTCTATAAAATTGGACCCTGAGAAAGAGTGAGAAAAAGAAGATATGTGCCATCGAGTTATGGACTTAGAAGACCTAATCAGACTTGATCCAAATAAAGTTGGAGTTATGATCAGTAAGCAGAAAGTTTTTATGCAAGTGGATTATGGACCAGAAAAAGTGACTTTGATTGTCATTGGTGATGGAAGTAAAAGAAAAGAAAGACAATGATAGATGTATACGATAGATCTAAAAGAACAAAACTGTATTATGAGCCGAGGTGGCACAGTGGTTAGGGTGCAGTACTGCAGGCCACTTAAGCTGACTGCTATCTGCAGTTCAGCGGTTCAAATCTCACCGGCTCAAGGTTGACTCAGCCTTCCATCCTTCCGAGGTGGGTGAAATGAGGACCCAGACTGTGGGGGCAATATACCGACTCTGTAAACCGCTTATAGAGGGCTGAAAGCCCTATGAAGCGGTATATAAGTCTAACTGTTATTGCTATTGCTATTAGAATTTCCTTGGGAGATAGAACAGTAATCACTAAATAAAGGTCAAAACAATGAGCATTTATCCATATAATCACTGACTCATCATTTTGCCCCCCCTTTCCCCCACTCCACAGATACCACTAATTCGGAGTAAAATCCACTTGAAAATATTTAACTCCACTATGTAAAGCCAGCCCAAGAAACCGAAGGGAATCAATAACAAGATAAGGAATCTTGTATGACCCACCAACCAATATGCTGTATGGTGCAAAGGTGTATCTCTGGTTCTTCACCTTCCCACCACTTCATCCTATTAAACGGAATGATAGCAGCCATACATTTTGCTTGGCTACATCTCCATGATTTTGCCCTGTGCAGAAATGGGCTCCCTACCTAAGCAGTAAGAGCGGGAGCAACCTTTATTGATCGATGACTGCATCTTTCTAAAACTGGAAAGGGGGGGGGATAGCTCTTGCGCGCGCGCGCACACACACACACACTCCCCCCTCTCTCTCTCTCTCACACACACACACAAACCTCAGGAGTGGGGATAAAGAACTCTCTTGGGTAGCCCACCTGTATTCTTAATTAAGCAAGAGGTGTTACTCACACGCACCCATCCCTTTTTGTTGCCTACTGGAAATGTGCTCCGCTCCCAATTGTCGCCGCCCCATCTGGGGACTGTTTCCCCTGCCCTCCGCCCCCCCCCCCCAAAAAAAACCGGAGTGGCTTCCAACTCGTAAAGATCTTTATGGGGAGGCTTTGCATAACCCGAGCAATAGAATGGCACCGGTTGGGGAAGCCAGGGTTAGCACGGATTCCCTCCCCAGCCGTTTCCCAGCGGGGGGCGAGCTTGGCTGGGCGGTTTGGGAAGCCGGCTTGGACGGGGGAGAAAAAGCGAAGGGCAAGTATGGAGTGGAAAGCGCCGGGACCGCGGACAGCTCCTCGCCCTCCCTCCACCCCCCTCCCCTTCGGCTGCGCTGTACGTATTATTTGGATTATTTTGATCCCAGCCCCGTAGCCCCCTGCCTGCGTTGGCGAAGGCTCCGGCTCCTCCTCTCCCCCGGGAACATCCAGCAAGAATCCAGGCCGAGAGATTTGACGTCAGGGAGCGCTTTCGTCCTTTTGACGTGGAAGCGCTCATTCCCCATTCCGGCCGTGGCGGCTCCGAGCCCGGCTCCAAGCATGAGACGAGCAGAGAGCGAAGGAGGCGACGACGGCGAGGCACTTTCTTAGCAACTGCCCGCTCCTTCCTCTCCCGTAGCAACCAGAGCCGGAGGGACTTTCCTCGCCTTCTCCAGCGACGACTCCCGAGTTCTCCGGCTGCCTCCTCTTCTCTCAGCACCCGTTTCCTTCTCCCCCTCCCGGAGAGTAACCCCTTTGGCTCTGCCGGGGCCATGGAAAAGAGATGCCGGGCAGGGCAGGGAGTGATGGGGGCTCTCCTCTGCGCCTGGACGGTGGTCCTGTTGGCCAAGGCAGAGCGGCAGTTTGTCAATGAATGGGCAGCCGAGATTCCGGGAGGTCTGGAAGCAGCGCGGCTCATAGCAGACGAACTGGACTACGAACTTCTGGGACAGGTAAGACCTCACCCCTCCCTTTTCTTTCCTTTCCTTTTCTTTCTTTTAAAGTCGGGCAACTTTCCTCTTTCCCGAAGCAAAGAGAATGAGAAACGGCGGATAATGGGTCCTGTGACTGGCAGGGAGATGCCATTGGTAAGGGAGATGCAATTGTTGCCTATTGTGGTTTGGGAAGAGCGCTCCACACCTTTCCCTGCACATCTTTTCCAGAGATGCTCTGCTTTTAAAGGGGACTTCTTCCTCGTTGGTGGTGTTGTCGTTACGAACAAGGTACAAGTAGTTGATCTTTGCTCCTGATGAGAAACTTTTTGAGTTCTTTCCACTTCTCTCCAGCCCTATCTTCCTTCTTTTAAATCGTCACCCCTGGTTGTCTGTTCCCTTGAACAGATGTTTTTTTTTAAAAAAAAAAATTGGCCAGTTACCACGTAACTCCAAGCAGCCTACACAGATTAAAACAACAGCTGTGACCAATAACCCACGGAGTAACCCCTAAGGTAAAACAGCCCACCCCAATCATGACAATGGGGGCAAGGGATGATTTGGGGACCAAGGCGGAGCAGGGTTGCATATGATCTGTTCTCCTGCGCAGAAGCCCATGTGCTGAATGGAGCAAAATCAGCAGCAGATGCTGGAAATTGCAAAGCGGGGAATTAAGTGAAAGCCCTCTGGGAACTCCACTTGGCTTGGCTTTAACCCTGTCAGCTGCCCAATGCCATCGCTAAAGTTCTGAATGCTGAGGTTCCTGAGCTCCTGCAGATGGGGGTGGGGGTTAGCTTTAACAGCAAAAGAAGAGACTATTTCTCGGTTTGGGATCTACCCGTACAGTTCCCAAACAAGAGACATTTGAGATTGTGTAAAGAAGTCACCAGTCAGAAGGTCTGGGCAAAAATAAATTACAATATTTTCTCCCTTTACTTGAAGAAAGCACAATGATCAAGATGTAGGAGGTTAAAAGCACAACTACATTTAGTAACTCCTAGTCTCTATACTCTATATTAATTTTTTTGTTCCCTTGTAACCACTCTGACATCTGTTTTCTCTTTTATCATCTTGATTAGCTTGTTTAGCCAAGCCTTATGGTGTGGGTACATAACATGCATGTGTGTTATGTACACACACACACACACACACACACACACACACACACACACACCAGGTAAGAGAGACGAGAGAGAAGGAGGGAGGGAGGGGAGAGAGGGAGAGGGGGAGAGAGAGAGAATGTTAAGTATATGGTAAATGACTCCTCACCAGTTTATAAATGGCTATTTGACAAATAAAAGTATGCGAGATCTGATTCACTACTGCCTGAGATGAACCAGCTCACTGTGTTATATAGCACAGGATGCTGTCAAAATGCATTGGCAACAAATCAGACAAACAGAAGAAAACACAAGGACAAAAAACTCAGATGAAAGATGTTATAGATTTACTGACTATATTCATCTATATAGGAGAGATGGAGAACCTTAGTTTCTACAACTGCTGGGTGATCAAGCCAGCATGCCCAGTGCTGGAAACTATAATTCAGCAATACATGGAGGACCAGGTATATTCCATCCCCCAATATATGTCAGCCTACACCATTAAGGAATCACCCATATTAAAGTTAATCTTTCAAATAACGCAGCATAATAAATTGCTACAAAAAGATTGCAATTAGTCAATTGCAATTAATTCCACTATGCAATCTCCCATAAGAATCTATTGATAAATCATTGTAACTATGCATACTTCTACCATCAGTTTTCTTCTTTAGCAAATTATCTCATCCATAAGCTCAACAATACTCTTATTTAAATAAAGAATACTGAATTTGAACCTGTGATCAGCACTTGTCACAATAAAATTTCATTTAAATTTTAGAATTTTGACCTCACTTCTGAAACTTAGTTCATTGTATATATTATAATACATGTTATGCAATCAAACATACATTCCCCCCCCACCTCTCTCCCTCTCTCCCTTGAAAACAGGAGGATAAAATATGCATTGCTCATTCTGTACACTTTTCTCTAAATGTGCATTTTAATGTATGTAATGTCACAAATCTGCAAGTACTTGTACATTTATTCCAGCATAAACAGATTAGGAAAAAGTGGAAGAGAATATGATTTAAAAATATAAAATATAGTCTACGATATCTGCTTATTTTCTATTGAGAAAATTTCTGATACAATTTTAGTCATATCAAATAACCTATTATCTAATTCCTCTCCCATGCAAATATCTGATATGTTATATAACATAAATCTAATTTATCACTGAGCTTATGTCAAGCTACTTTTTCCTATAGTCTTGCATGTATATCCATGATCCCATTATGATCATAACCAATATGTTTATTTCTTTAATAGTCCTTTTATGATTTGTTTTTATTGTTCAATATTTTTGTTTAATTTTTAATAAAATTAAATTAGGTTTTATGGAATTTGAAGAGGAAGGGCACACATCATTATGGAGCTAAATCATACCTAAATACAACGCTAAATTGAGAAGAACATAATTGGTAAATAAAACCAATAATTATGAATATTTCTCTGAGCTATCAGTGCAAATGCTATAGCATGATATTTACTACTAATTCTCATCAGATTTATGCAGTTGACTTATAGCTAGATCATGGAGCGCATACATAGATATATACCCACAATTCCCACCAAAACAGAAGCTTTTTTTTCTTAATAGCAGCCATTCTGCTTTCCTAATATCTGAATCAACCAACTTCTGCATCTCCAGAAGCTCACATTTCCTATCCCAATTGAAATTCCAATAAAGCAATTTGGGAAGAGGAGGAGAAGAGATAATTACAGGAAATGCATAACCAAGAACTAAGGGCATAGATTACAGAAATGAGCTCTTCTCAAGTCCTGGAGATGGTGGGAAAATATGCCAGTGTACATTGCATTCTCCCAGAAATTAGAACAGTGAGTGGTGGTGTTCTTGCAATTTTGACGAGTAAGGTTAAGAAAGGTAAGATTGATGGATTTCCCTGGTTTTGTTTCCCATCCCACTGAGCATTATTCTCTGGTAGAAAAAATTGCTACTAATTGCTCTCCTTAAAGTTTGGTGGGGTGGGGTGCAGAAGTGCTCAGAAGCTTTAATTTGCCAGCCAGGAAATTTTTAAATATGAGTCTAGCACTCTTTTGAAGCAGCGCTAAACCTGTGCTCCAAAGTAAATCAGTTGATAGGTCACAGGTGCAGAGGAGAAGTAGAAGATGAAGGACCCTCTCTTAACACATTGGGAAATGGAGGCTTAGAGAAATTGAATGAAAATGGCAGAATGAACTTTAACATAATTTAGTGCAAAATTACACTAGTTATTTAGGAAACAAAATCAAAAGCACAGAGAGAGGCTGTAACTTGGTAATAGTAGATTTGAAGAAAAGTTTGAATAGAATCTTGTTTTGATATTTATATATTTCAGTATTAGAGTTGGACAACCATTTGTTTCAAATGGTATAGAGTTTCCTGCTTGAGCAGGGAATAGGACTAGAAGACCTCCAAAGTGTCTTCCAACTCTCTGTTATTCAATGTTCCTTTCACATCAAGTTTGATACACAGGTTAAAGGTACTGAGCTAAAAGTCAGAAGACTGTGAGTTCTAGTCCTGTCATAAATATGATATGTTGACTTTTGGCAGTTACTGTCTCAACCCCAGGGGAAAGGCAACAATGGCAAAGCACTTCTTGAAAATGTCCAAAAAACATAATGAACTTACCCATGTGGATACCAGCCATTAAGACCAACCCAAAATTTGGACATAGATAGATGGATGGATGAATAGATAGATAGATAGATAGATAGATAGATAGATAGATAGATAGATAGATAGATGATGGATAGACGGACAGATAATATAGATAAATGTTAGCACATATATAAATAGAGAAAGATAGATGATAGAACATAAAGAGGAACAATAATATAATACCAATACAAGAATACCTTCAATTACAGTACAAAAACCCATCATTCTAAAAAAACATATCCTTCATCTTTCACAAAGAGCCATAGTTGACCAGTCTCTAAAATAGACATGTTTTAGCAAGCTTTGGGAAAGCCATAATAATGGAAGTGGATGCTCACATAAGGCAAGAAGTGGGAAAAGGAAAACTTTTCAGAAGAACAGAATCCACTCAGAAAATGCTTTTTCACCTCTGATTGATGGAGACGTTCAGCAGTCATATGGAATTTATCTCAGTTTCATGGATATCAAGGTGCTTAGCTGTATAGGTGATAATCAAAATTTGAATTAAAACAGTAGAAAATGCAGTAAGTTTATGTGTGTTTTTTATGGGCAGTTCCAAGCAAAGTATATTAGATTGATCCAAATTCATCAAGCACATGAATAACTCTCTTCAGGGCCTTCTGTTGGGTTGGGCAAAGGCCTTCTTGGCCATGGCCAAAAATCTACAAGGGGACAACCCCTTTCACAGCTAAATTTGATACTATCCCTGAATTACCAGACTTCTAAATTAAATTATTCTATCTTCCTTGGGGTGAGCTTGTTTCATGCCATTCAGACACTGCCAGATTCTAAACACCAACTCTGAATTTCCACTATGTTGTACAGTAAATTAAAAAGTGAATACTGAATTCAAATTGACAGTATTATATGACTGCAAAAGAAAAAAAGGCATATAGTTTTAAACCGTCTTAATAAAAACATGGTTTCCAACTCATGGGAAATAATTTTGCCATCTTTAGTGCAATCCTTAAGAAAGATTTAGAGAAACTGGAGCAAGATCAGAAAAGTGTAGTGAGAATAATAACGGAACTAGAAAAGTAAGTCCTATGAAGTTAAACTAAGAGAAATGAATACATTTAATGCTAAGAATAGGCTAAGACAGTGGAATATAATTGTATTCTAAAATATCTGAACAAATATCACATAGAAGAGGGACTTGTTTTCTATTGTCTCTGGGTACAAGATCCAGAATAAAGGACCTAAATTTCCAGAAAGCATATTACACGTAAAAGCCCAATCCAATTCTTACTAATAAAGAGAGATGTTTAGCTTTCCTTTGTTGGACATGTTCAAGCAAAGACCAGAAAACCATCTGTTGGGATTGTTATAATTTGATTTCCTGTTCTTATCAGCAAATTGGACTTAAGAGCATGTATGAATTATGAAGAGCACATCTTTGTAATTCTATATTCTATATTTGACAACAATAAAAATATCTAAGAATAAAATATTTCCCCTAGTGGAAAAAATGTATGATATGAAACCATTTAATTTAAAAAAAAATCCGATAGAAGCCTACAAATGGTAATAATTGAAATTTTAAGAAAGTACTAATATTAATAGCTAGTAGCAACAATTTCACTCCACTTTTGTAATGTGTGTATGTAGACATATCATGAGGGAAATGGAGCTAAATCAGTTCTATTGAAGTCTATGGGATTTATTACTGAGTGAACATAATTCAGATTGTTCTATGAAATTTGGACTGAGAAAATGTACCTAGTAACATATACTCAAACTTTTTCAAAAGGAAGAGAAAGTCAGAGGAATGCTGTGCTGTAAACCACAGAGATTACTAGCTCCATACATAATGTAGCTAGAAACTATTTTGGTGGCAATGGAGAAGTGGGGGGAAGTGGAGGGAGCAATTAATGAAAAGGGGAAGGAGCTTACAAGAAATACCCTTCTGCTATTTTGTCATTCTAATGACAGCAGCTAGCTTCTGTAGATGAACATGTCCTATTCATTTCTATTTTTTCTTAAAATAAATTTAATCACATGTTCCACTTTGGTCCATGTTGCCATTAAATAAAAGCAATGCACTTTCATTTTTATGCAAATATGTGCAAGATGTAAAAGTACTAGTAGAACATAATTCTGCTTTCTGACCCTTTGTTTTTAAAAGACATTTTATTAGGCAATATTGTATTGGTGCATGGTTTCAGCTCTTACAGTAAAAGGATTTCTGGGAAGTTTTGATTGTTTCTTGCTGTTTCTTGCTGTTGTTGTGCATGATGGGGAAAATATCTTAAAATTGTTTTGTATTTTACAGATTGGGTTACTGGAAAATCATTATCTACTTAGACATAAGAACCACCCTAGAAGATCTCGACGAAGTGCTTCTCATATCACTAGACAACTCACAGATGATGATCGTGTAAGTAATATATGTATGCTTTATAACAGTGTTGGCAAACCTTTCCACCAAGTGCCAAAACAGGAGTGTGCACGCCCCTCCCCCCAAAACTGGAAGAACAGATCCCCAGCGTGCATGGGCGGGAACAACAGAAACTAGAAGAGCAGGCCTCTGGCATGCATGCGTGTGCCGGGAAGCTGAGCTTCTGGTTTCTGGGATTCCCACTGATCACCTGGTCTTCTAAAGACCAGCTGGCATGCCAGAAACCGGAAACTCAGCTTCCTGGCATGCACATGCGCACCAGGGACCTCCTCTTCCAGTTTATGGTGCTCTTGCGCACGAGAAGACCAGCTCCCGGCGTGCAAGTGCACGCCGGAAGCTGGAAGAGCAACGGGCAATGGCTGGCATGCCCAGAAAGATGGCTCTGTGTGCCACTTCCAGCATGCATGCCATAGGTTTGCCATCACGGCTTTATAGTCTCTCTTAGATGATAATTCTAAACCCAATTCTAAGTGAATAAATCTTTCTCAATATAGAAACTTTGGTCTCCAAATAACTATATGTGAAATTGCCTGCCAGTTTACTATTAAATCACCAATTCTGTGGAAGTGATGTGATATAATCCTTCAATAATTGGATTTTTGATAATTATTATAATATTTAAATTTCATATTTTTTATCCAAAGATCTTAAAGTATGTGTATATAGTTTCCTGTTTTGACTCTGAGACTGATCCAATCTTAGTCTAGATAACATTGGAACATTATATTTGAAAAGCAACACCTTAAAACAAAGAAATTGTAGCTGTTGGTTTTAAAAACTGTGCAACCACATGAAATTCCAATAGGCACAATCAAGTAGAAAGAGGGCATTTCTTCATTTATGAATTTGCTCGTATTTATTTCTGGATCTCTTGTTATCTCAAAAGCATATCTTGTGTTTACTATTCAAAATCCTTGTGATTTAGGAATTAGGAAGGACCCAGGGCGGTGTACAACATAAAAAAAGAACACATATTACAAAAGTTAAAAAAGAAATTAAATAAAGTATCCAAAAACAAACCCAATTAATATTAACAATAAAAATTTAAAAATTAGATTAAAATTAACAATTAAATTAATCATTTATTTTATTCTGTTCAGGCCAGGCAGGCTTGCTGGAAAAGCCAACCGTTTAGGGCGTGTCGGAAGGATCGGAGGTTGCTAGTTCATCTTCGGCTTCCATAAATTCTTTTTGCATACATTCTTGTTGCTCTTCTTGTTTTCTAGTTTTTCTCGCCCTGTAGGCAAACGTAAGGCCTCTTGTGTGTGCTTTCATTGTGTCCCAGAGATTTTGAACTGAGGTGTCTTCTTTTTTATTTATTCTAAACAATAGTTTTAATTCTTTCTCCAGCATTTGAGTGTATT